AACAACCATCAGGAATAAAGGAGTTATTTCAGAATCCAGAAGTAAATTCAGTGGAGCAGCTCAGAGAACTGAAGTGACAAACGGAAAGCAGATCAATACTTGGGACAGCTGGCCATGGCCCAGTCATTTCAGCCACATTTAAATTTTGTCAGTAGCATTGTCTTTGAGGTGATATGTCTTTAGAAGTGTATATTTCTGCGTGTGTATGAGTCTTGTTTGGTCAGGATGAATGCACACACACTCACACACACACACACACATACATGCACCATGTAGATGATGAGAAAGAAATAGGAATGAAAGAAGCAATTATTTTTATTTAGAAGTACTTTCCATGCCCTTGTACACATGATGTAGTAGGCACAAAATATTTCCTTTTGAATGCATTTTTTGAATGGATGGATGGATGGATGAGAATGAATGAATAAAATGTGCATGTCAATTAAAAGACCCTAGTTAAACTTATCTATGCAAAGATTTTCCTTGGATTTAAGTAAGACCAACTCTTTCAGTATAGAAAGAATAGGAGCTAAGAATAAAACCACTTCATATGAGCTTTACTACATTCTAGCGTTGCATAAATCATTGGAGAATGTCGATGTATTTGGGTTACTTCTGTCTCACAAGACAAAAGTATTAGCATCCTCAATAATCAAATGTATGGCACCCTTCCTACAGCGTAACTTAGACTGGCAATGAGGACAATTGTAAAGACTGAGAACTCACTAAGCGTAAAAGAGAAAATTCTACAGATTTCCTAAGAATGGAGAAACACTCCAGGAGTTGATACCTGCCCCAGAACATGGTAATGTTGATAGAAGCTTACCAAAGTAAGTTTTATAAGAATTTTGAGTATCCAGAGGACAGCTCTTCCTTCCCGAAATAAAGTGAAATGGAAAGTTTTTCTTTGCATTACGATGAGCATTTGGTCTACATGAGTTTTTAGATGACACTTAATAGTAGTGTCAGCTTTCTCAAATTACTTAATTTCTCTGAACCTGTTTCCTCCAAACCTGTTAATGTGTAGATAATAATGTCTCCCTCCCCAAGTTAGTGTGAAAATATAATGGCATGGGGTGTGTGAAAGAACTCGGTAATGATCTAACATGGTAGGGTCTCTATTAATGTGAGTTTCTGCTTTCCTAAATTCCTCATTCTAAGTTTGGGATACAGGTAGTAGAGGGCTGGCCGCATTCAAGTCACTTCAACCAATGATTATTAAACCACAATTACAGAGCAATATCTTACCGCTCAAACCACACTCTATTACCCTATCACTTTTCCCCACTCTTACCTGTCTATACCCACAGCGTGGACACTATGTATAAAAGGGTTAAGTATTCGCTCCCAAACTCCTCTCACGACAAAACCAACCAAACAACCAGACCAAACTGTCCAATCCCAATCAACCAGCTTTCTCTGAAAACTTATAGGACAGGGGGGCATGAAAAATGTGAGGAAAATGGAAAATAGGGCAGAAGGCAGAACAAGTAGAGTGGAAAATTACATATTTCACGGAGGTTTCCAGAATTTCCTTCACCTGTCCAAGTTATAGTAGTAATTCTAATCCTAAATAACATGCAACAGGAATTGTAAGGTTATGAAAGGATTGAAGTGTTATCACTCATCTTCACTCCCTGCCCTCACTCTTTCATAGTGAAAACAGTGCACAAATGTATGCATGTGCAAACATGTACACACATACATGTGTGTGTGTGTAGAGAAATAAACATCACAGCTTATGATTTATAATACTAGAATATCAACTCAATTACATATATCAATCTTATAAGCTTGTTTACTCTGATCCTGGTAGGTACACGAGCTTCAGACCGTGAAGGATCACTACTATGGTAGCTATTTTGAATTTTTCAACCCTACTACAAAATCAGGATCAGGATCAGGATCATGAGTTTAACACGAAAGAGTGGACCTTATATAAAAAAGGCACCATGTAAGAAAGGCATCAATTTATGACTTCTATACGTCTGGATTATCTCCTTTATATTTTTATTTTACAACCCTGTGAATCCACATTTTATCGCACTTAGAATCTTAAAATGAGATTCTTAAATGGTGTTCCGTGAATCTCAGTATAGTTTTAATAATTCTAAATTCTCATGGTCAGCCCTGACCCTTCAGAATAGCATATTCAACAATATCAACTTTGATTTGCCATTGATCTTTTATACTTGATATGCCTGCAAGCAAACTTGACAACTTCCGCTTATGTTCACTGCTTCAGTAAATGGCTCCAACATTTATCCAGACAACCAGAGTAGAAAACTGGTGACTATTGCATTCGTCTGCTTAAAACCATCACTTGCATCTCGTTGGCTTTAGGATAAAGTCTCGATAAAGAGTCTTGCATTTCATTCCTCTCTAACTGGAACTTCTACCACACTCTTCCTTTCTTGCACATTCTGGAAATATCAAACTAATCCTAGTCCCCGGCACATATCATGCCTCTAATTTCTCTGCCTGGAGTGCCTTTCTCATCTTTCTTGACCTGCAAGCATGCCCTTTGAGGCAGGACCCCAGGGGCATTGTGACCTGAGCTATACAACACCACCTGCATAAGGTGCCTGGTCACCCTAATTCCAATGAGAAACAAGCCCATCTTCCAACATTCTCTACCCTCTTCTCTGCCCCATTTGAATCTCTAGTAGTATGGCTATGAAAAGTATATAGCACTGGCCTACTATATATTTTACTAACTTAATTTATTGATTAAGTGCTACGGCTGCTAACCAAAAGGCTGGCAGTTCGAATCCACCGGGCACTCCATGGCAACTCTACGGGGCAGTTCGACTCTGTCCTATAAGGTTGGTATGAGTAGGTATCAACTTGACGGCAATGGTTTTTTTTTTTTTTTAAATTTTGTTTATTATCTCTCCTGCACCACAAGGATAAATACTCCATGAGGGCAGGGAATTTATGTTTTGTTCACTGCTGTGTTCCCATGTCCCCCGTTTCTAAACCAGATAAGTAAACAAGTGCATAAGTATGCAAATTTCTCATACTATAGTATATTAAAATTGTATCTTTATGTGGCAGTTTTCTTTGTTAAGCAGTAAATTTCTTGAGGGCAGAGCCTATGCTTTTTGATATTTTTATGCCCTGGTATTTCACACGGTGCCCCTGGCATAGTTGGTTCTTGATAAATGTTTGGTGTATTAAATTACACTTTAAACAGACATGTATTCAGTAGAATGATAACCTTTCAATTTCCTCAGATTCATAGACTTTGTTAACTCTTTGATTCTATGTCTTAGTTCTGGGATCTTGGGCAAGTTATGTAACTTCCCTGAGTCTCAGTGTCCCCATTTGTAAAATGAGAGAAAACACATTTCCTTCTTCAAAGGGTTTTATGAAGAATAAATGCAACAATCTAGAAAGTGCTAAGCACGGAGTCTGCCGTCTAGAAGCCACTGATAGATGTTAGCTATTTTATTATCATTGTGTTGATAATGATGATGATGAAGAGCACTCAAACATATAATGAATAGTAGAAACATCTGAAAAGGGCATTCCCTCAAGAAGACTGTTCCCAAAAATGTTTAGGGAATCCTCCCAAGTGTGAGGGATAATCAGGGAGGGAAACCCTTCTGGAACGTGAAGTTTTAGTGGCAGGCTCCCCTTAGCTAGGCCAGAGATGCCTTTGAAGCTGCATAGTCATAATGAAACAGGGCAGCTTTTTTATTTCCCTTTACTGGCAGACTTTCAGTGGACAAGCAGAGCTTCCTGTCCATCCACACGCCAATCATGCACTCAAGCTTAAATAGAGGGATGTGTTATGTCTCTGATGTCTGGTTTGTCAAATATAACCAGACTGAAAATCCTTAACTCCATTTCTGCCAAATATGTTTTTTCAGATAAATGTGACTGTCCCTCCCCCTCCCTTTCAGTCATTAGAAATTCTGGCAGGATGTATTTATTCATTTGCATTTAGATTGTGAGTTCCATAAATTAAAGATCATGTTTTTCCCTTTCACCATTGGGTCCAGTACTCCAGGCATAGTTTAGACCCTGGCAAATAGTATCTGCTCCACAAACATTTATGGAATAAGCGATTCAATCCACTAATTGACAATCAATTCTAGATTAGATTTTTAGAAAAATGTTAATATAAATTCTATCAAGCATTGTTGTTGTTGGCTGAATCCAGTTGCCTCCCAACTCATGCAGACTCCATGTACAATGGACCTTTGTGATCCAAAAGGCTTTCATTGGCTGATTTTTCAGAAGTAGATTGCCAGGCCTTTCTTTCTAGGTCATCTTGGTCTGAAAGCTCCACTGAAACCTGTTCAGCATCATAGCAACAGCAAGCCTCCACTGACAGATGGGTGGTGACTGCACTTGAGGTGTGTTGGCCAGGAACTGGACCCAAGTATCCAGCATAGAAGGTAAGAATTCTACCACGGAACCACCACTCACCCCATCAAAGTATTACAGCATAAAAATATCCTGGGGAATTGCATTAGCCTAAGTTTTGTAATATAGTAATATAGATGTCAACGAAGGTAGCTATCCTGTTAATTGCCATCAAGTCTGATAGTTTTGTCTTCTCAGAGCAGAGCAATAGATACCTGGAGCTATTGGTTCTCCTCAGTGAAAAATTAAACCAATTGTAAAAGAGAGGGTGTCCTTTCATATCTAGTCTTTGCCAAATGCCTGAATTCTCTGACTGTTTCCCAAGTTACTAGTAGGAGTACAGTAAGTTTATAATGCTTCAGAGTGCAGATTTACTTCTTTCTATAGTTTCTGTGGAGCCCTGGTGAAGTAATGGTTAAGAGTTTGGCTGCTAATGAAAAGGTCAGCAGTTTGAATCCACCAGCCACTCTTTGGAAACCGTACGGGGCAGTTCTGTTCTGTCCTATAGGGTCGTTATGAGTTGGAATCAACTTGATGGCAACAAGTTTGGTTTTCTGGTTTATAGTTTCCATGAGAATCAGAATGAATCTTGTAACAGTCTTATTTAAAATTAGCATAGCACTTACCTGAACAGAAGTCATCAGAGTATCTGTCATAAACAGCTCTACAGTCCCTCTCATCACACTCACAGGTATTTCCATGAATATCTCCCCAGTCCCCAGTGGGGTCAACATCGTGGCAAGAACATTCACCACACACACAAATCCCTAGGTGGAAAAAATAATTTTACATGGGTCTAGTCAAGAAAAATCACAGAAGAAAGCATCTTAAATATCACTTTTGTTTTCTCTGTTGCTTACTTTGGTTTTGGAAAATGCGCATATTTAAATTAAAGATATTCTATAAGGGAAAAACACCATCTAAAGTTGACAGTAGAGATTTCTGAAGAAATAAGCAAAAGTTATTATCTATGTCTATAAATTACGAGAGACTGTGGGATGCGTCAACTAATATAAAATACAATCTTTGCCCTGCAAAAAAGCTCACAATCTATTTGACGCTAGGAAAGCTAACGAAGGAAAAATTAGCAAACCGTAAAAGTACAAGTACTACTATTTTGTAAACTAGGGTATAAATGTTATGAGTGTTTTGGTAAAGGAGACTAAGCGTGGGCTGGAGTGCCTAGGGTAGACCATTCGGTTATGCAGAGAGGTGGGAAATGTTCTAGGAGAGGTTGGAGGTAGAATGACTTAAAGGAAAGCAAGAATAATAAAGTAGGGGAGGGAGAGGCATGGGGATCCTGAGGAGTCCTCTATCATTAGAGCAGAAGATTAAAGAAGACTAAGAAGGAAGTTTTGCTAGATCAGATGAACCCAAGTTATAGAAGACCTTGGCGATCAGGCTGAGAGATATAACTTTGTTCATTTGAAGATGTGAGTAGAGAAATGCTCAGTTATCAATCATATTTACCTTGTGGGGATTATCAGTAATTGTCTTTAGGAGAACCAGTTAATTATTTGGGGAACAAATAAAGTTAAATCTCTTTCTTACCTCTTACACCAAAATAAATATTGGTTAGATTAAAGATTTAAGTGCATAAAATAAATTAAAAAACAAGAAAGAAATGCCTTTTTATTCAAAACCCACGTGCAGAATTTCTAAAAGGAAAAGAAGAAGTACATTTAACTACTTAGAGATCTAAATGTTTGGTTGGGAGCAAAATGTCATAAACAAATGACTATAAAAACTGGAACAAATAGTTCATAGGCATGTAAAAGACAGAGCAACTTTCACACATATATAAAGAGTTCTTACAAATTAATATATAAAGGACAAATATGTCAAAAGCAAAATAGATAAAAGCAAAAAACACCAACAGAGAATTCTGTAGAGAAATAATGATGGTAAATAATCATGAAAACTGTTCACCATTGAATCCACTATTAGTAAGGGGTAGGAAGGAATCATTAAAACAACAATACTGAGTGAGAATTGTTTGGGATGGTAGGTTGGTAGAGGTGAAAAAGATTGCTAGTATGCAGAGGTGATGAGGGTGTGGGATATGGGTACTCTCTTGCACTGTAAGTAAAGGATAAACTGGTACTACTTTCTGGGTGACTATTTCACAAGTATGTACTTTTTTAAAATGGCTTTATTATTTGGCCTAGCAGTCCACGTCAATGAATTCATCCAAATGAAAGGAAATGTACACAAATGTACATGTTCAGGAATTTAAATGTAGTGGCATTCATGTTACCAAAAAATTAAAACTAACCTGAATATTGATCAATGGGGAATTACTGCAGTAATGGCATATGTGTGGTATGGACTTCCAAATAACCATTAAATGTAATAATTATGTTTTAGTTTTGTGAACTCAGAAAGATTCCCAAAATATATTATCAAATGAAAAAGGAAATTACAAATCAGTGTGTATACTATGACTGAATTTTTATGTTAAAAAAGAAGAACATACAAGTATGAAGGGCACAGGCGAATTAAAAAAAAGAAAGAAAAACACTGAAAAATCATGTAACAAAATGTAAAAGGGAGTGATAGCTGAATATTAGGATTATGGGTCATTGACTTTTTCTTCTTTATACCTACTTCATTATCTGGACTTAAAAAATGTATATTATTGCTTTCATAATAGTATAACTAAAGAGGGGGGGAAGAGAGTTACCGGTCATGCTTTTCGATGAAGTTTCTAAGGCATGTGTGGAATGGGTGCAATGAGAAACTGAATAAACTACGGGCAATAGAGAAAATTCTATCATTGATTATTTGGGTTAGCAACACTCTTGTTTTGGCCCCTGAAGATGGGCTAAAGGGGAAGACAATGTAGGTATGTACAGGGCCTTACGTCTCTCCCCTAGCTAGGAAAGCAATGGGAAGGAAGGAGGTCTAGGGCACACACATGTGGTAGCTTTGGAGGAAAAAAAAAAATCACTTCAGTGCCCATCCCTGATCTGCTTTCACACACCCCTCAATCTCACTAGCTATAAGCCTCATTTAGGCATGCTGTTTCCCACCTGCCTTGGACAGACCTCCAACATAGAAAGCCTTGGGCTTACAGGAAGGGCAGGAGGCAGGAAGCCAGATTGCTGATAGGAAGGAAGTAAGTCTTGTGTTTTTCTGACGGATATCTTCTGTCTCTCAGAGCCCATGTATCTCAGCTGCAGAGCCCAACCCTAACCCACAGCCCAATGAATTCCGCTTTTCTCCCCTCTCTTTTCAACAGCATCTGTATGATTACTTTTTCACAGTAATACAGTTCACACCTGATGCACTGACATAAAGGCAACTTTAACCATGTTGAATAAAAAGAGCACAAGCAGAAAACGTGTCCTTATATATTAAGTTAAAATGAATTATTATGGCATATAGTTAGATCTATTCTGTATAAATTAAAGAAGTTTTTTTTGGTGATTTTTGTTCCAAGTTTAGACCTTTCACTTTCCTTTCTGTAGGGTTATAAATGTGGCATATTTTACTCTTATAGGCTAATTTCAAAAAGGATAGAACCGGTTGTGTGTTAACATGTGAACATTATCTATTAAAATGTATCATGTATTTATGTTGTTGTTGTGTGCTGTCAAGTCAATTCTGACTCATTTCCAGCTATACAGATTTTCATAATTTTACGTAAGGAAATATGACCGTTTACTTATGTTATCAGGTAGGCAAAGGAAAGTCCAGCATAAGGGAGGGGATATTCATAGCTATTTTCAGGGAATTTTTTTTTACGTGTTTGAAGTTGTATTATTTGATATAACCAGTTAGTAAACTTGCTTTAAATCATATTTAACAATACACTCACTCCTCACTTATTGACATGTTTAGGTTCCAAAGACTAGGTCATTACAAGAAAATTGGCATTACGTGAAAATGGAGGATGACCACATCAGATCACAAAATGGAGGATGACTACATCATCACAGAACTGCCAAACCACGGAGAATCATGGCCCAGCCAAGTTGACACATAACCTTAACCATCCCAACCAGCGTTACTCTTGCCTCACACCTCGGCGTTTATTACCGTCAAACGTACGTCATTAATGCGCAAAATAGTCGTATAGTAGATTTTTTACTATTGTCGTAAATGCAAAATGTCAGATAATGAGACTGTTGATAAGTGAGGAGTAGGCGTACTAGTATATTTCTTAAACTCATGTCTAAGGTCAGTCTAAATTCCGTAGGGCTCTGTGTTGCCTTTTTTGTGAGCAAAAATATTAAATACGATGCCTAGTTTTTATATTAACTATGTCTAATATCACATTTTTATCATTGCATATAGAAGTTAAATGAGCCTACATCAATTCTGTGTCTCAACCAAGCCTTCAATTTACCCATAATTAAGACAGGAGAGTTTTCTGAATGCTCTCTGGATGATTAGATGCTCATGCTGTAGATGGTTCTGTTAGTCAAGAGACATTTAACAGAAGTATCTACAAGAATTGCCTTTTAGCAGTATTGTGCTATTTCTGGATAGCTGCCAAAGAAATTACAATCCCTGTGTTAACTGTTTGTTCAGTGAAGCTAAAAGAATGACAGCAACTTTTTTACCTTTGTGATTTCTTCTCATAAAAAAACCAGAAAGAGAAGATAAGTTTTATAGTAAATGTTGATTTACATGAAAGTAAATGATTTCAAGATGATTTCCTCCCACAGGAAAGGAAATACAGAGAAAAGAGAAAAGGAGCGTTCACAGTTAAGAACTTTGTTTTCCTTGCAATGATGTAGTAACGTGTATGAATGACACACCTCGGTTACTGCAGATTTTGCCATCTGGAGACGTGCATCTTCGCTTGCTCTCCCAGGGGGTGATGTCACACTGGAATTCGCATTTATCTCCATGCCAACCAGACTCACAGTAACAGTTTCCACAGTAACACTTTCCATGGCCTTTACCCAAAATGAATTTTATACAGGGAGGAAAAAAGCAACTTTTAAAGGCAGAGTTAACTTTCTACCTCTTTTTGAACATTTTCATCTTCTGAAATAACACAATTGTTCCGCACTCCTTGCTTAAAATAATCAAATCACAGTTTGCCTGCAAACACCACAGTTGTGTTTATACTTAACCTAATCACACAAATAAAGCAAACGAGAAATATCCCTTTACTTGTCCTAACCAGGTAATAGATTAAAGTAAGAGTATTTAAAAATAAATGACATGAAAGATTCTGAAAGTATATTACTTTGGAATCTCAAATGTGTGCCTCAAATTCAAATATACATAAGCATTCACTCTAAGGGCATTTCTTGAATTAGTCATTAAAACATTTTGCTCAAAACCAACTATTGAGAAACCAATGGTGCATATTTACTTGGATGCACATTATTAATGACTGAATAATTTTTTAAACCATAAGAAATATTTCATTTTTCCATTCAAGTGTGTCCCACAAGCTGTTGTGTTCCACCACATGGAAAACTGATTTTCAACCAACTCAATGTTTACTGCTCATTTAGAGTGATAAAACTCAATGAACCCTTGGTCTCACAATCAAGCTCCTGTACTAACTGGTAGGGGGATGCAAATGATGGGTTACAGTGTGCCAGTCACTACTGCCCAGATACCATCACACCCTTTCAGCTCCTGCCACTGTATAACCTGTTACCCTGCTCTTTTATATTTTGATCCAAGCAATCCACAAAAAATTGACACTTCATTGCTTCCTGCATCCATGTCTAGCAACCACTCTATATATCCCCCAAAACATAACAACTGTATTTGCCTCAAAGTTCACTTCGCTTCCCCTCCCTTATTTGTAGTTATGCCACACAGACCTGAATAAAATACATTTATGTCTTTTTTCTTATAAATATGATGAAAACCAAGGTCACCTTGAATTTTGCTTTTATACTTTGTGTTTTATAGGATGGAGCCATGGTGGCACAGTGGCTACTAACCAAAAAGTCCACAGTTCGAACCCACCAGCCACTCCTTGGAAACCCTATGCGGCAGTTCTACTCTGTCCCATAAGTTTGCTATGAGTTGAAATCTACTCAAAGGCAATGGGTTTGTTTTTTTTTTTAGGTTAATGGATAAAGTCTTGTTCTTCCTCCATCTACTCTTACAGCCATAATCCCAGACAGGCTGTGGGAAACAGTGTGAGGTGATTTTTGACCCTAAACACTAAGGCATCTCTGGTCAATGGCAAGAGTGTCAGTGAGGCCCTGGAAGCTCACATGAGAAGTGGGCAAAACGATAGCATATGCTGGTGTCCTATGCTATTCTTGTCCACCAGATGAGAGTTCTTTCAAGCAAACATACGTCAAAGAGAGAGAATGAGATAAAGAGAAACAGCTCTACAGTGAGATGCTGAGAAAGAGGCAGAGACCAGGTACAAGATGCCAGGTTTTCTGTCTAAATAATTAGAATATCCACAGAAGATCTCTCCTTAACTTCATAGACAGTGACCATTTCTGCAACAAATTTCAATTTTTAATTCATTCACTTAATCAAATGATTTCATCAATAACAAAAATATATCATCTATATATATTATTTGTTGTAGTTAGTTGCCATTGAGTCCTTTCTGACCCGTGATGACCCCCATGCGTGCAGAATAGAACAGCTCCATAGAGCTCTCAAGACCTTTCGGAAGCAGATTGCCAGGCCTGTCTTCCAAGGCTAGTGGTAGAGTGCTTAACGGTTTATATCACCCAAGGACTCCTAAATATTATTTACAAGTCTAAAAATATCTCTACATGCACTCATAACAAAACCACATTCCACTGCTATATTATAAGTCTCCGTAACTCAAAGATTCCACTAGGAAAAAAAACTAAGACAACTACATAAGAAAGCTTTTCCTAGGAGTCGGGTTTTGTAAGACTTGATCAACTTCTTAGACTGTAGAATGCATTTCCTCTGTCATTTCAGGAAATGGATACCAAGATGCTACATACGATGCTACGTTGCATGCAATGATTACAATGGTATTAACCAATGATTATAAGTCTACATTCCTCACATCCAAATTCTTTTTATATTTATGAAATAATCAGTATTGAAATAGGGTGTTACTAAGACACCATTTACAGAAAGGTGAGTAAGGAAACAAAAATCAGGTAACGCAATACTTGCATGTAACCTGTTGATGAACCCATTGCTGTAGAGTCGATTCCGACTCATAATGACCCTAGAGGATAGAGCAGAACTGTCATGCTGATGTGGAAAATTGAACAAATATCCACATAACTCAAATGAAAATATTGTAACAAGACATCTGAATAATTGAAATAAAATATACGCTGGAGGATAGTAAATATCCCATAATAAACACAATTCTTTGCTTAGGGTAAATCGGCAGAGCAAGAACATCCCTTTTTCTATTGCTTCACTGATGGACTGCAGGGTAATCTCTCCATAGATAGGTTTTATGTTAATACCAAGTGTAAAGATCTATAATCCGAGGCAATGTCACCCCCAGAGGATGTTTACTAGAGTGCTGGTGCTATCTTTCAGAGACTTTGCACCATGGAATTGCTTACCTCTAAAAAATGGAAATAGCAAGTGGAAAGAGCTAGAGCTAAACATTTCCTGCTTATACTGTTCGAGTTACATGTTTATAGTTACACATGCAAACAGACGTAGCTTTGGTTGTATGCATCAGAATCCTCTTTCTGCAAAGCATTTTCCCTTCCTTCTTTTTGATCTGTAATGATTGTATATGAAACATCAAGAGGATCTGATGCATGCTTTCTAAGGGTGGATTTATCTCTTTGTTCTGATTATTCTGGACTGAGTCCTTTCAAAGAGTTGTATCTGGGCAGCAGCAGCTAGCTTCGGCCACTCGCTTCAAAAACAAAGCAGAGGTTTGTTGGGTTTGCTTGTTTTCTACTGGTAGTTTGTGCAGCAGCAAAGTGAATCAGCAGTGAGAAAGGAAAAAGAAGTCTGAAATAAGAATATCCAGATGGCCCCAGGAGCCCTGGCGGCACAGTGTTAAGAGCTCAGCTGCTAACCGAAAGTTCGGCTGTTCGAACCCACCAGCTGCTCCGTGGGAGAAAGATGTGGCAGTCTGCTTCCTTAAAGATTTACAGCCTTGGAAACCCTATGGGGCAGTTTTACTCTGTCCTATAGGGTCACTGTGAGTTGGTAGTGGGTTTTTTTCTTTTTTTTTTTGGACTGCCACAGGAACTAACCTTACAGAAATGTAAACTGAGGCAAGCTTGTCTTATGCTAATGACACTTTCTCTAGGGCCCTCTGGTTCCTATGGCCCCATTTGCTCCCAATCTTTCTACGACAAGTACTCTTCTGAAATAACCCATTCAGCAAGCAGGACAAGGAGTCAATGGAATCCTATCAGAGATGAGTGAAAAAAGCAATTGCTGATCAGCATAGAGGTGAGGCCAGAGGTAAGCAGGTGAAATGTATTTAACAATAGTGGAGAAGAATTTACCTAACTCAGTAAAGTGAGTAGCATCACTCTCTACTTTCCATTCCCTGTTCCAGCCCAGGCAGCCCATGGAAACTCTGAGGTCAGGCTTGCAAAGTTAGGTAAACTGAAGAGGTGGAAACCAGAGGCGATAAGAAGCGGCTTTTTGCATGGGAGCCCTACAACTTCTGGGCAATGAAGCTCTTCTGTATGGTGGGGAGTCAGAAGCACAGTCTCTGGGAAGAGACAGACCTAGTCTAACTACCAGTTTGATCCATAACTGCTAAATGACCCTGGATAAGTCATCTAATTTATCCAAGCACCAGTTTTCACATCTATCTGTGTGGATAAAAATAATCCTTACCCTAGAATAATGTTGTAAAACTTAACGTAATAAATGTAAAATACTTATTGTAGTACTTGGCTTGACCAAGCATACAATAACTGGTACAACACACAAATTGCTTGAGTAATGGTGGCACACAGAAAAGGTCATTAAAAAGTGTGGGGCTAAATTGTAGTCTAGCAATCCTACTGGCCATGAGTGTCCCCAATAGGACATGTGACTGTGCACTGTCTAAAGGTTTATGGTTCAGAAAGGGAAAGAAAATGAAGTTAAAGTATGGAATTGAGAGATTAGGTGAAAAGGGACAAAATAACAGCAGCTAAAATGGGCAAGAAAGATCAAGAACCACTAGGAATACTTCAGAGCTAGGCAGCTGGCCTATAGCCATAATTACAGGCAGTCCCTGGGTTATGAAGTCTGACTTATGTACAGCCTGTAGTTACAAACCAACTCCTTTCAATCATATTATATTAAAAATTCGAGGTACATGTCATGCAATGGTTTATAATAACGAACAGGTGCTACTTTGTAACATTCATCAAAACATTATTAATAGTATTACTGTATTATTATGTTGTCGATACTTTAGTGCATCTGGAATTGTTTCTTTAATTTTTTTATGCATAGAAAGGTGAGCTATATACTATATACTAAGGTAAACATTTGACTAACTGATATTAGATACGAACCATACCTAACTGTTCTGACTTACATACAAATTCGACTTAAAGACAGATTTAGGAACAGAACTTGCTTGTAATGCGGAGACTGCTGGTATTGGCTCTCCTCTGGGGACAATCTAATTTTGCACTTAAAAAGTGCCAGTCTCCTCTGAATGCTCTAGTCTAACTCCTTATACGGAGTGTTTCCCAAATAAATATAGGTTCAGAGTAAATTACTATTCTCAGTGTAGAAATTTATGTAGAGATAAAAGTACAACAGAACAAGTGAAAAAATGAGTGGTTTTTTAAATTTCTGAATAGTTAATATACATACCTCCACATATTTCTTCTGTCTCATCATCTATGCATTCTCTGTCATCACACTCACAAAATTTACCATAAACGAGTCCATTTCCATCTGAATTATCACACTTACACCTACCACAGTGACATGTACCTAAACCATTAAAATAAAGAAAAGAGTATTGGTTACATGTGTACATATTATAATTAATATATTTCATCCTATCTCTCTCAAGATGGTAGACAATTCAAGTCAATCAATTTAATATTCCCATTATGTATTTCTGTGGGTGTGATGAGATAGAGAACAAGATAATCTTAAGATTATTATAGTAGAGCAATTATATTTTTATAGCACACAGCTATTATTGTTGACCTCTAACAATTTTATGGATGTAAATATGACCTCCCCAAGTAGAGAGCTACTTTACACATGCCAATTCAATCAATGCATGAATCAATATCTTCTGATTACACCTGAGGTCTGAATTGAAGTAAAGCAGAAAAATCTAATCTTTGGCAAGGGCAATGACTTTGCTTATCTTCCTCAACAATATTTGTTCAATATTTTGCGCAGTATTTGGGCATACTATTTATATAATAATCATTTGTGAAATTAATTCATTAACAGATGCATAAATGAAAAACTTAGATGCCCTCTAAAAATTTCACATTCCCAGTGTTAACCTGACACATGTTCTTGTGAGAATGGGACAAGAGAAGGAATTTTCTGAGGCATAGTTTCCTGGGACATTAGCATAACTTCAGGTAATCTGGCGAGCTACACAAGCACTGAGTCATCTGGTCTACCACACACCACATACCCTGCCAAGACTGAGAATTTGGTTATATTCCCTAAAAGTAATTTCACTGACAGTGAAGTAGCATTCGAACAACATTGCGAAGTAGACTATCCACTTGAGGAATTTCTTTTTTAATACTTATTTTTCAATTTTTAATAAATTATCACAGCAATCAACATACATTAAATGAGACTTGACCATTCACCAATCACCTTGGTGTGCTCTGGAAATCCATTAGGGAGTAAAGTCGGCTGTGATCTTGCTCTCAGAGTTTTATAAAAGAAGCCAATGTGATAACATAAATGGAGAAGTGAAAAGTGTTGGAGAAGCATATAGCAAGAGGATTTAACTGAGACCTGGAAGCCAATAGAGTCCCAGAGGTAGCTGCTTTTAAACTGAGAACTGAAAGTCAAATTCCAAAAACAAAAAAAAAAACTAAGTAAAGTGAAATGAAGAAGAGGCTCACTTCTAGCAAAAGGCAACAGCAAAGACTATGGTGAAAGAGGAAAAAATACCCAACCAGGCTGGAGTATAGAAAATAATGTGGAAAGTAGCATGAGATGAGGTTACATAAGGCAACTAAAGGAGATTCATGGAGGTCTTAGAGGTTGTGTCAAAGATTTCAAACTTTAACCCAAGAATAATGAGAAGACATAGCAATGTTTTCAGCAATGGAGTCACATGATCAGATATGCATTTTTTTTTTACAAGATTACTCTGGTTGCCATATGGAGTATGAACTACAATGAAGCAAAAATGGATATGGGGGCTGAGTTAAGGAGCTATTACATTTGTGTGCAGGAGAGAAGACAGAGGCTGAACCAGGGTGGCGGCAGTGAGCTTAGAATGAAGCAAATACACTTGAGGGATAGTTTCAGCAGATAGAACAGACAGGGCTTGATTATTGATTAGGTGTGAGGGGTAAAGGATAAGGAGGAACCAAAGAAGATACCGATTTTTGGCTTGAAACTACTGGATATTGGCAATTTTGCATGTGGTACACCGGAAAGAACACATATTTTGGACTAAGACAGACTTTTAGTTGAATGCAGGTTTTAATCCTCACTAGCTATGTTTTTCAGGTCATTACTTACATCTCTAATTTTCAGCTTTCTTATTTGTATAGAATAACATCCACTTCATAAAGCTGCCGTGAGGGCCGAGGAATACATATATCACTGTCTAAAAACACTTATGTGTCTAGTACATAATAGGCTTTCAGAAAACTTTGCATTCTTCTTTTTCTTCCATTAAGATGCTGAATATGTTAGTCATATTCCAAAACATTTTCTCCAGACTCACTTTATATTTATGAAACCTAACAACATTCTTATTTTTATACTCTCTCCAAGATTTTGTTACCCAGGCCACTTGCAATTTCTTATTAGCTGTAAGAGTTTCTCTCTCATTTAAAAAAAAAAACAAAAAACTTTGCCATCCAGTCAATTCCAGCTCATGGTGACACTACAGGACAGAGCTGAACTGCCCATAGGGTTTTCCAAGGAGTGGCTGGTCTATTCGAACTGCCGACCTTTTGGTTAGCAGCCGAGCTCTTAACCACTGTGCCACCAGGGCTTCATTTCTCTCTTACAGTCACATCAAAACAGTCAGTTGGCAAAATTTGAATTCGATATTTTTCTACCTTGAGAATACTCCTGTGAATTTACTTTTATTAAATTTCATTTTCTTATGCTTTGCCCCTAAAAACTATCTTAACTTATAAAAGTTCATTTGAAATCTAATGCTATAATTGCCTCATTTCATTTTTTCTCTAATCATCACCTGTTGTTCATTTTCACATTTAGCCATTCTTTCTTTCAACCACCCACATGATCAGTCATTAGATTTTCTTGCTGTCTATTACGTTATTGACAAAGTACTAGGTGCTATAGGTGATAATAAGCTGAAAAAAAATTAAATCCCAGACATGGTAGAAAGAAACAGATGATCAAATATACATACATATGTATGTATATATGCATATGTATATATATACATATGTATACACACAAACACACATATATATTCAAATGTATACATTCAAATATATTCATAATACATATTCAAATATACTCATAATACATTTTCAAATATGTATATACTCATAATATATATACTAGATGATGCAAAAGAATTTGTGAGAAAATCTATACAGAAAGTATAAACCTCGGTCAGGCTCTGAGGAAGAGGAAAGGCATAAAAGAGTAAGTGCTTGATCTGGCACTTGGTTCTGTCCTATGGATAGGATTCCAACAAATGTAGGCAGAGAAAGGCTTTTGATGTCAAGGAAAGAGCCTAAGCTAAGAAATACTGATGGAAAAGTGAAAAATCTGGCTTGAGTTTGGAGAAAAGGCTAGGTTGAAGCAAGGTAACAGAGGATCAAGCATATTGTTTCAGGGTTTTAGATTTTCTCTCTTAGCATAGCAGGAGTGGGGTGTAACGTGATCAGGGCTATGTACGTAGTAGTTGTTTTCAGAAAAGATGGAAAGGAGCAGCCTCTGCCTCTGAATCCTACAACTTTTCACTGACATCCCCCCCAGGCAGGCTCATTCCCATCCACACATCTGAACCCTTCCTATCTGATGTGGGAAGTTTATCAACAGCTCAGAGACTTCCTGTTTCACCCATCAAGTAGAATTCACGACTGAGCCTCCCAGATACGGCATATGGAAGCCCAGGCAAAAGTGCCAGACTCCTGTGTTGATACTGAGTCATACTGCCTCTCTGTCTTGGTTGCCTGTTAACTCAAGCTCTAGGACTGGTCTTCTGCTTTACTCTAGATTTTTTTTTTTTTTTTTTTAGCTCTGACCTTTCATAGTGCCAAGTAGAGCTGCCTCTCTCTAGGATTACTTCCCTGACTTGAACGCCAGCCTACTACCCTGAGCAATGACGACTGAGCCTCGCCGCTCTGGGTCCCCCACAGAGCTGGCTTCCAGAACTCCCTCAGTCTTCAGCTCCATTTCATCTGGCCCTTCAGCCTTACCCCCACCTCATTCATCTCCACTCCCCCTTCTACTCCAAGCTGCTTCCAGCAGGCTCCATTGTGATTTAAAAAAAAAAAAAAGGGGAAAGATTAGAGACAGGACTCATTGGCAAACGTAATGTTTTGGAAGTGATCTTGAATTAGGTTGGTGGTAGTAGAAATTAAAAGAAAAGCAGGCGAGAAAGATGTTGTCAAAGTGAAATTGAAAGATTTAGATTTTGAGAAGAGAGTAAAGGAGAAAGAAAACATTACATTTGACACTGAGTATTGATTTACTCTTTTCTGGAATTCCCATTCTTGTTATGATCCACACAGTCGATTGCCTTTGCATAGTCAATAAAATACAGGTAAACATCTTTGTGGTATTCTCTGCTTTCAGCCAGGATCCATCTGACATCAGCAATGATATCCCTGGTTTCACGTCCTCCTCTGAATCCAGCTTTCAATTTCTGGCAGCTCCCTGTGGATATACTGCTGCAGCTGCTTTTGAATGATCTTCAGCACAATTTCACTTGTATGAGAAATTAATGATATTGTCTGATAATTTCTGCACAAGGTTGGATCACCTTTCTTTGGAATAGGCATAAATATAGATCTCTTCCAGTGGGTTGGCCAGGTAGCTGTCTTCCAAATTTCTTGGCATAGATGAGTGAACACTTCTAGTGCTGCATCTGTTTGTTGAAACATCTCAATTGGTATTCCAGCAATTCCTGAAGCTTTGCTTTTTGCCAATGCCTTCAGTGCGGCTTGAACTTCTTCCTTCAGTATCATCAGTTCCTGATCATATGCTGCCTCCTGAAATAATTGAACGTTGACCAATTCTTTTTGGTACAGTGGCTCTGTGTATTCCTTCCATCTTCTTTTAATGCTTTCTGGGTTGTTTAATATTTTCCTTTTAGAATCCTTCAGTATTGCAACTCGAGTCTTGAATTTTTTCTTCAGTTCTTTCAGACTGGGAAATACTGAGTTTTTCTCAAATGTGTTCTTCACTTTTGGTTTTCTAACTCCAGGTCTCTGCACATGTCATTATAATACTTCACTTTGTCTTCTCAAGCCACCCTTTGAAATCTTCTATTCAGCTCTTTCATTTCATCATTCCTTCCTTTTGCTTTAGCTACTTGACGTTCAAGAGCAAGTTTCAGAGTCTCTTTTGACATTCATTTTGGTCTTTTCTTTCTTTCCTGTCTTTTTAATAACCTCTTGCTTTCTTCATGTATGATGTCCTTGATGTCATTACACAACTCGTCTGGTCTTCAGTCATTAGTGTTCAACACATCAAATCTGTTCTTGAAATGGTCTCTAAATTCAGGTGGGATATACTCAAGGTCGTACTTTGGCTCTTGTGGACTTGTTCTAATTTTCTTCGGT